GATTTTGATATTAGGAAGCCGATTGTTAGTGATGGTGTTGTTTATTCTTTGCCTAGTTTATCTCGCATATTTTCTAAATACTACTGCGAATTTGGAGCATTTCTTGTCTCCATCGTTTCTAAGGACTATTTTGGACATTTTTAATGGTTGTCTCGAATTATTACACAGGATATCGTGATGCTTTTCCGAACAAAAATTTGCACAGATACTTCGATTCGCAATCCAGTGCGATGTCTTCTAGTTTGAGACCCAAAAAACACCGTTCCCATATTCTAGTCTGTTCACGTGCTTCAATGTCTGCAAACAACAAAACAACATTCTGACGTATGTTATTTTTGATAAGTCGAATAGTAAATATAGTCATCTTATCCATTAGCGATGCTGAAGTGCTCAATATTTCTCTCTCTTTGTTGTTCGTTGAAATTTAGCCGTCATTAAAAAAAATAAACCTTGAAATGTTTCCTATGTCTCCCGGTTTTCTAAATCCTCGCGTATGTTCTTAAGTAAGTTGCTGAATTTTCAAGTTTCCTCTATTTTGTGACCAAGTAAAATGCCTTTTCTATCGTATATTTGAAATCGATAATTGAGAGGTTAAGGTGGCTCGATAAATTTTTCAAAAATTCACGTGTTCAAAACTTTGACATTTTCAAACTACGCATTTTTAGGATTTATTTAGCAAATATTAGTTTTTTTTATATATTTTGATAACTCTACTTTCAAATTATATTAGTTTTAGGAACGGATAGTTCGTTGCTATGACGACATACGTTTACGAAATTCACTCCAAAATGGTCTATCGCTTCGCATAGTTGGAAAAGAAGAATTGATGACCCCCAACTTTTTTTCGTGCATTATTTTACTTGGACTAATAGCTAACATTTTGCAAAATATAAAAAATTCTGTAATGCCATTTTTTTGGAAAATGCGAAAATGTCATATTCTTCGGTAAAATATTTTTTGACATTACAGAATTTTATTATTTTTTGTATAATGAAAGTTTTTAGCTGTGTAATACGGCATGCAAAATTTGAACATAGGTCACCAGGCAAAATAAAGAGATATAGGCCGTATTCTGAAGTCGATTATCGTTCAAAAAATATAAACTTTACGGGGTCTACTTAAAAACAACTTAAATCTATAGATTTTTACCTACTGAATACAAATATGCTTGTTGGCACCTCTGAAATCCTGCTGTTTTTTAGTAAAAACCCTCGAAAGTTCGAAATTTTTTACTCGTGTTTTGATGTCCGCCATCTTGGATTTTATTGTATGCGCACGCGCAGTTGCTATGTTAGAGGGGGTATCCGCTGACAATCCCGGCTCATAAGTACTTACAGGCCTTGTAAAATGCCGGATAACATGGCGCTTCCACGATGTTGTATCCATTTTAAAGACGGAAACGGACCCCTGACACCATTTACAAGTGTTTCGTTTGAAAAATTTCGGCACTGTCATGAGATCTGGATAGATTTGGATGGGCAGCAGAGACAAGTAGCAGAGAAATCAAAGGGTGTTTTACAGGATGTCGACGACAAGTCTTCAGCGGTTGGGAATTTTTATTACCATAGAAGCTGTTATTCAAAGTTTACAAATCTTACAAATATCAAACGTTCTCAAGCCCGATGTGCTAAAATTATGGCGAACAGATCCGTAGAAAATCAACAAGACACAATCAGTACAGAACCAACTTGTAGCCCACCCCCCAAAAAGATGCTGAGGTCTTCAATGCCAAGTACGTCCACAACATCGCAATCCAGCTCTATACTCCCACCAGCATGCATTATTTGTAATAAGGATGAAATTTATATCACTGATACGGTAAGTGATCATTACATATTTTCAGTCTATATCAGAGCCACTGACATAGGGTATATAGCAGGGCATATAAATGTTTTGTCATTTGAAGGGGGACATTAAGTACCTAATTGTTACACTGGACGTCACATATAGTGATAGATTATTCAAATTAAAATTTTAAAAATGTACTGAAGAATTAACAAATTCTCAATCACTTCTTACGTCATTGGCTTACGTCGTTTTAAGAAAAACGCAAAAGCTTATTTCTTTCTGTATTGAACCATATTATACTATCTATGCTATGATAAATTTCACAAACATGTCAAATGTTTTCTGCAGCCGCACCCTTTTAACTCATAAGTTCATTGTATTGTTATCACTCAACAGTATACCCAAAAACGCAAATTGGGCCAGCTGATCTCAGCGGAAACAATCGACGGTGGGAAGCTCAGAGAAGCTGCGACGAGAAAGAACGACCAGCGGATTCTTATCCATATATTGGACAAAGATTGTGTCGCCGTTGAGGTGAAGTATCACAAATGTTGCTATCAAAAATACACATCGTTCTTGAACCATCCAGAAACCAACGATTCAGCCATAGAAAATACAATGTACTGCAAGTCGTTTAATAAGTTTTGCACCATCGTAAAAGAACAAGTCATTGATAACCATGGCATTTGGTATATGATTAGACTCAAAACCGAATTTGTCAATACAGTGAGAAAAGAAGAAAATCAAGATGCTTCAAGTTATGCAACATTTCGATTGAGAAACAGGCTGAAGAAACGATTTCCTCAATTAGTATTCCATACACCAAAGGTACGAAACAAAAATGAATTTGTCTACGTTGAAGACTTAAGTCGGGAAAGTGTGGTAGAGAGGCTGTTGACTACAAAGAGTGACAGTCAATCAAATACTTCAGATGATGAAGAAGACGACGAAGATGAGCCCAAGCAATGTGAACAGACATCCAACAAGACTAAGAGGACGATAGAACTGAAAGATTTGTACGTAGTCGCACTTGCACTAAGGCAAAACATTCTAGAATATTGCTCGTCATGGTATGAGAATTGGCCTCCTCTTGCTTCTGACATCACTGGAGAAAGCGTTATGAAAGTGGTATCCCCTCTTCTATATAATTTTGTGGCGTGGTTACTTGGATACTCCGAGGAGCCACAGGTCTCAAGCTACGTGGATATGAACGAAGAATATGCAGTTAAAG